TTAAGTATGCCATATGATTGAAGTCTAGAAAGTCAGTTTACAAATACCGTCAGATTTACTCAGGCAATCCCTGTTGCTGCGCACGGAGAATGTTGGATTTTGTTTTCAATAGACACCTTATTGTCAAATCGTTGGAGCGCCTATGGGCAATCGTTAGGAGCCTGTATTAGCCGAATTTTTCATGATAATGCTTGAAATAAAACTGAGTGGAAGTTTCGCAGTTGCATTTCTACAAGCAGTATGTTGATGACATACCCGCGTTCCGTTCCCCAAGAACACAGCGAGAATGCCCGGCCAAAAAGCTGAAGAGCGTCCATATCAATCTAAAAATTACCTTTGACTTCGTTAAATAACTACTTTCCGATGCTGGACATTCTCATCAGCCGAAAGGATACGGGGCACGTTAGGAGGTCTGTATACCGAAAGCCGACATGGTCTGGGCAATATCTGCACTTTATGAGTTTCACACCAATGGGTTACAAGTGTGCGCTGGTGAAGACTCTGTTTTCCCGGGCAAAGCGAATTTGTTCAAGTGGTTGTCTAGCTGAGGAGATGGAGACTATTGCCAGAACACTTATGGAAAACCGTTACTATAGACGTTTCATCGAGAAACACAGTCAGGTTAGGTAGCCGAAAGATAAGGTGTTGACAGCCCCAGAAAAAAAGTTCACATTGAACTTCAATTTAAGGGCAACACCACCACAATGAGGACAACCAAGCGCTTAGCTTCTACTATCCAGAGAACCTACTACGGCGCTGACGCAGTTGTAATTAGCAGCGCCCAGAAGCTGTTGTCACTTTCAGTCAATGACGAGAAACCTATCGGCACCAAATCCAACTGCATTTACCGATTTGTATGTGATTGCGGGGTCAGTTACATATAAAGAACCGAGAGTTTTGAATTCCAGAGTGAAGAAACATCTGCCCCACAGGGGTCAACCAACCCGTCTCTAGTGAACCGAGTGCACGTAAGCCATCAGTGTCGTCAATAGGCAGGCACATTTGAAAGTCCCATCATCGGGTTAACCATGTTTCGGCGTTCCGGACTCCACTGCATCCTTCTAGTCCGCGATTCTTGCGGTACGTCGAGGCCGCAGAGATGAATCGAATTAGATCGGCCTTATGTGTGCAAAAACAAGTGGTTGTCAATCTTCGGTTGCCGTGGTCTTAGGGCTATGGCCGCCGTTCATCCGGATGGAGGTGAATAGCCAAGTGACACGACACCCTTTAATTACTATTGTAAATACTCAGGTGACACCCCTAGATTATTTTGATTATTTCCCGTTATCATAATGGCACTGATAAGAGGAAACGAAATGCGCGCATCTACCAGTGTTCGTCACCTTTCTGTGTTATACAAATTATTACGGGGAACGAACTGTTTCCCCTTTCCTATATATATATATATATATATATATATATATATATATATATATATATATATTAACCGCGTACTCGCATGCTGTCTATTTATTTCAGGTGGTGGGTTTTCAACTTTGTCCTAATGCTTATCTTTCTCATATTAATCTCACCCTGTAGTATCTTCTATGAATTCGCACACATCGCTTAAGCCAATTGTAGTTAATTTCGATAACATTTTCGCGTTTTTGGCATTCCCGTAAAATAAACTTCCTGGCCTCTCGGAATCCTTAGTAAACAATTTATTTCATACGCTCATTAATTTAAGATTTATGTCACCGTTTCCTTATGCATTACTCGATTTATTTTATTTGTTATCTTCCACTCAAGTGATTGGCTGTTGCTTGACATCCCCGGTGTGGCTGCCCTTGATGTGCATGTTGATAAGGTGCCTACCTGTCTATTACCCACTACCTCGTCCATACTGGCTCTAGGAGACAGTTGGTCGTTGCTAGAGGGGACGGGGTGCACGGTGCGTGGCCGTGTTAGGATCAAAGAGTGGCACTATGCGCTCAGTGTGGAGCGGAATACGGTCCAGCCACCGCCTTGTATGCGCTTGATTCCCAAATACAGCGTGCCTGTGCAAAGGGAGCAAGCGATGTTGCACGAGTTATCGTGGTATCAACTTGATGAGTTGTATGGGGAAGTGATTGCACGAATCCTGCTCAACCGCCTCGTCAGTCAGGTTGTGGAACCTAACGTGGCGGAAGAGCAGTGTGGATTCCGTTCGGGTTGCAGCACCATCGATATGGTGTTTGCGGCTCCTCATTTGCAGGAGAAGTGTACAGAATGATACCAGCCGTTGTACTCGCTATTTGTTGATTTCACCAAGGCATTTGATACGGTAAATCGCGAGGCACTGTGGCTGGTGTTGGGTAATTTTGGTTGTCCGAGTAAGTTTGTAGGTGTAATTGAATGTCTGCACAGTGGTATGCAAGCGAGGGTGCAACTGAGTGGACAAACCTCGGATGACTTTGCAGTTATCTCTGGTGCGGAGCGAGGCAGTGTTTTAGCTCCTGCCTTGTTTAACATCTATCTTCATGCAATGATATCTTGTGCCTTTGATGCGGCCTGTGCTTACAGTGTTCCTGTAGAACACCGTACTGATGGTGGGTTGCTGAACATCCATCCTTTCGGTGCGAGAACCGTCTGTAAGACAACTATCCGTATGCTACTGTTCGCTGACGACTGTGCGTTGTTTGCAAACAGCGCGGATGAGTTGCAGCAGACGGCTAGTTCTCTCGCATGGACAGCTGCCCAGTTCGGGCTCACCAACAACAAGATCAAAACTCTCTTTCAGCCTTCACCAGAAATGCAAGCTGCAATACTGCTACAAATCAGTATTGGTGACGAAGTATTGGACATCACCTCCTGCTTCTGATACCTGGGGAGTGTGGTTTTGACGCACCATCAGATACACAGAGAGCTGCGCATTCGAGTATCAAAGGCAACGGTGGCATTCGGAAAGCTTGAGTAACGAGTGTGGAACAACCATCAGCTTATCGTTGACACGAAGTTGATGGTGTACAAATCGATGGTACTGTCCGTTCTTCCATACGGCAGCGAAACGTGGGCGATGTACCTGCGAGATGTGAGGTATCTCGAGCGGTTCCATCAGCAGCGTTTGCGACGGATTCTGCACATCGGTTGGTGCGACAGAGTTGCAGACACGGAAATGTTGCGCCGAAGTGGAATGTATGCAGTGGACTGTATACTTTTTCTGAGACACTTGAGGTAGCTCGGTCATGTGTGGCGTATGGATTTGACGTGGATAGAAGTAGCTATTATATGGTTAGCTGAGTTTAGAGAAGCGGCATGCGAGGAAACCGAAGCTTTGTTACCAGAACATGGTTAAAGTGAGCCTATCACGTTCTAATTTTGATTGCATTTCATGGGAATCGAAAGCGGTTGATCAGCGTGCATGGCGACATGTGATCACGGAGGTAGTTGTCGAGGCGCAAAAGAAAGTTCTCGTGCATGCAGAGAGTAAGCGGCAGGTGCGGAAGCGGCAGGCGCCGGTGGGTTGTACTCCATCGACATCGAGCGCATGATGCTGTGGTACTTGCGGTCGCGTGTGCCTTAGTCAGACAGACCTAGTGAGCTATGAGCGAGGGCACTAAGGGACTCAACAGAAACGACCGAGTCCGGCTGAGAACGCGGGCATAATCGGCGCAGCGTCGGTAGCTACGCTGCATTCGATTTATTACCGGAGTGCTTGTGTACTGTTTCTTTATTCCATGTGGTGGGTCTGCTATCGTGTCTCAATACGTATCTTTTTTAACTCACCTACACGTTTACCTGAAGTTTTACAAGTTGCTTAAGCTAATGGTGGTTAAGTTTGTTAACATTTCCGCGTTCGTGGCATTAAAAAATATATGTTCTGACATCTTGAACTTATTGCGGATTTGTTGGTAACCAATTTATTATGTATGCTGATTTAGCGTAGATTTATGTCAGCATCTCCGTATGCCTTAATATATATTTTTTGTTATTCTTATTTAAAGTGATGGGCCGTTGTTTAACATCCCCGGTGTGGTTGTGCTTGATGTGCATGTTGACAAGGTGCCTACCTGTCTGTTACCCACTGCCTCGTCTACACTGGCTTCAAGCGACAGTTAGTCGTCGCAGGAGGGGACGGGGTGCAAGACTCTCGTGGCCATGCCAGGCTCAAAGAGTGGTTCCATCCAGTGTGGAGCGCACTACAGTCCAGTCACAGTTTTCTGTGCGTTTGGTTCCCAAATTACAGCGTGCTTGTGTTTGCCTGTGAAGGAGTGTGGGCCGGCTCTGTTGATGAAATGTGGCTCCCATCCACATGCCTCCCGGTCTTATTCCTTCGGGTTTACACTGGATATGGGGTGTGTGGTTGGTGCTGTGAGTGGTGCAGCTCGAGCCATCCATTGTCCCTCTGTAGGCGCAGGCGTCCTGTGGCTGGCCACAGTGACAAGCAAATCCGAAACCGCATGCCGCCAACCATATATATATATATATATATATATATATATATATATATATATATATATATATATATATATATATATCTGAAAGACCGACCAGTTAAATGCATCAAAAAGAAAAGATGGTGCATCGGAATAAAGAATGTACATGAAGCTGCATGAGCAATTCTCAGCAGAATGGCATCAGCATTACGCCGATACTTGGTACCGACGACCCGCTGACATAAGACACGCGTAAGCTGGGATAATGTGAGGTCGCCCGCTCCTAAACAGATTCGTACTGGTGTTCTGTGGAGTACGAAGCAAACACTTAACCCTTTAGACCGCTCAATTTGACAAAGCCTCTACATCACAGAGGATGCATGTTGCGTATGGGAAAACACCGCGAGATGTTGTATCGAGATAGTAATTAGAGATTGTATTCTACCGAAAAGAATGATAGTGATAGGAATAATAAAATAACATGTATATTTGCCTGTGCACAGCGGTGTAAATGGAAACTAATGTGAGACAAACATAATGGGGAGCACGTACCTTCTAAGACGTTCTGGTAGCATTGCATTGTCACACAGCGCATTGGCACGATAATCCAGAAAAGATGTTGGAAAATCCAACAGTGAAACAAAATCATACACTACAGTAGAACGAACATCCTTGCGCACGAGGAAAACGTGATAATCCTACAAGCTTCGAGACAAGAATAAAGATGACTGAAAGAAAACTCACCCATACGACCATGTGATTCCTCGAAGCATCACCTTTGATCTGGCTAAACAAAGCAACCTGTGGACATAGGAAATGAAGGTGCATCATACCGAGGAAAAGCGGTTCGAGACGAACACAGTGTAGAAGTCACCTGGGATTTGTTCACTTATGAGTCTTCTTAGCAATAAATAAATATTCTCTTCGCTAAGAGGACGATATAAACTAACCAATTAAAGTGAAAACCCACCAATAGTTCGGAGTGTAAGTAAACCTAACACGTTCATCACAACCAGTTAGCATGTTTGATCAATCTAGAGGCGATAATGAGTGTAAAATTAAGAGGAAGGTCAGGATAGCACTTGTGAAGTGGACGCGTGTTTATGCTTAGGGGGAAAAACGACAAAAACACAGCTGGCTGTAGTGTCAGAAAGAAAAGAGAAAAATACAGGTCAGATATGATGTGATGCAAAGAAAGCTGAAATCGAAACAGGATTGCGATGGCACCGCTCTGTATAGGTAGGTAAACTCCGATTTAGGTGAAGATCCAGTGGTAACTTAGATGGCGAATGTATGGTCACGGGTAATAGAAGCCCGAATCTCACACCTAGTACGACTAAGTGTCTGTATAGTTTATTTCTAGTAAGGCAGCAAATATCAGGAGCAACCTGGATACATTCGATCACTAGGTAAGTGCGACTATAGGAAGAAGAAAGGCACCAGCAATACGTCGGAACAGCGAGAGTCACCCGGTCACTCCGCAGGCTCGAACCCTCGAATGAAAAAGCAGGTTTGTTATCTTTAAGGCTATGAGCTGGCGAGCACAGGCATATAAAATTGGAATGTGTAAAAATTTCGAAGCTGACGCCAGTGCTTTGTACTGCGCTTCATATGTTCAACCGCAAGATGGCTGTCAAAAAGCTGACTAAAGAAATAAGTGATAGTGGAAGAGAAATCCCGCTAACTTTATGCACAGCCTATTAGCAAATAATGGGATACTTGAGCTGGCCTCTATTCGTGAAAAATCCAGCGTTCCGAGATCGCGGTTCATCTCCGTTCAAGCTTCTTTACAAAGTCGTTTCAATAGCAATGAGAAAACTATGACAAGACCAATCTCCCGGCATAGCCTTTACTGATTCCAAGGTACTAGTAAGCGCGAAGAGCCAGGATGCCAGTGCTTTCCGCCAATAGACTAATCCAACGGATTCCACATTATGATAAGAGGATAAATAGCTACATCTCCACAGATGGCTTCCTAGCATACAGGGATCGAGCGTCGAAGTAGCCGTAAACTGGGGCTATAAAAATAACCACCACAAAGAGGGTTCAGAAAACAATGAAAGCACTGAGGCACCTGAGATAAAAACAGTAAAAGTTCATGGTATAAGATTTGACAACCCACGACTACCAGATACAGGTGGATAACATTTAAATGGCAGGACCAATATGACGATTGGTTTCATGACGCACTGGAGGGCGAGTTGAAAACGCGACGTCTATTTTTGCTAGACTACGCGCTTCGACAGCTTATTGATAACCTACATCAGTGAAGATCAGTTGATATTGCTGTGTGTAGAGGAATGAATCCCTAAACCTGCAAAAAGAGGAATTGATGAAAACATGGTTCGCTGATATACGCCCTCTACTTGAGTGTGGCTATGAGGCGACTTATCAGCGGCCGGAAAATTTATCCGACCTGGAGCGGTCACGAAGTCAGTGATACTACTGCATTTGATCACTTGTCGATTGCTGTTACCATTTCCTGTCCTGTCATGTCCTGTAGTTGCAACAAGGGCGCCAGTCACGGGAGTTCTTGGGTATCATGTGCAATGGTGATAGCTATGGATTCTTGGATAGGCGGATCATTCCCAGTTGGTGTATATGCCTGCATTTCGCCCTGCCCGCTTTGAGCTTGTCCGGAGCTAGTCTGCAAAAGCAAGCCGGACCAGGTAGAACTTTAATCGCGATATAGTGCATGACGTTTAACATCACAAAAAAGTCGTTTGGAAAGCCAACGAGTTTAGGATGCTTGTTTCAAAGGTCCATAAAAAGCTGTGAGGCCTGAGGCAGGACATGAATTGGAGTTAGAGTGGCCATCTTGGCACTGGTCCCGATAATACTGAGCTGTGTCCTAGTCAATAAACTTCTTTTTAGCGTCGACAACAAGTTCTAAGTGTTGAAAAAAGTCTATGCCTAAGATTGCGATAGGAACGGCAGCTACTATGTAAGCTAGCGAAAGGTTCGCCGGTGGCTTAGGTAAGGCGGTAGCTGTTTTTTGCCGAAAGCAGCAATTGATGGGTTATACAACGTGCTCGGCGAGGGTGAGACAACCTCATCTAGGCTACGGTATACTGCAAAATTTGAATCCGGTGTCGGTTAGGAACTGGGTGCCGGAAGTTAAATCCCTAAGGCGACTGAGGCGAGGTTGGTGTTGGCCGGTCGTGTCTGTCGCTTTTACGGGCCGGCTGAGAAGGTACCTTGCTTCTCGGTGAATTTGCAAGGCTTGACTTTCTTACGAGCTGCGGTACCACGGCATTGCTGGTCCCAACAACAATCCTGTCTGTTTTGCTGGACTTGGGGCGTTTGGAGGACGATTTTGATCAGCCATGACGAAGACGGTTCATTGTGAGCTGTTGGGCTTGGCGATTAAGTGCCGCAGGCTGTGCTTGAAGGGCTTCTATTGTTCACTGTAACCCAGTGATGGAAGTGCACTGACCTTGCTGGAGTCAGCTTTTGGCTGTGATCATTCAATGACTGCGCATGCTAAAGATGCTAGTTAGGTGAGCGATACGGAGTTCACATTAGCGAGAATTGCTTGCGTATTTTCCGGTAGCTTCTGTAGCTATAGTTTACGGAGCAGGGTTTCATCCATTGTCCATGAACCAAGAAGTTGTTGCACCTCGTGGCAGGACTGAGGACAGTTTATCCCAAAACCGCAGGTCTCTGAAAGGTTGCTGCAGGCGGAATTTCTCAGAAGGCATTACGCGCTTAACCGTGGTTTCATTGAGTGCTACAAGCGGTTTTTGATCTGTGAAATGATAACGTCTCGACCCTGCATCGATATCGACTTGTAGAGATCAGGTCAAGTTAAATGGACGATAGTGGCTTCCGCCTAACGAGCGTCCAGTTCTTGTGCCGGTAAGTGAAGCGGCCCCCTGTACTTAGACGTTGGATTGACTTCTTGCTTCTGCAAAGGAATGAAGCAAGAACAAGAGCAATCTTTGCACTTGCATGTGTCAGCATCAAAAGACACTACATATTCTAACACAATTACAATATCTCTGGAAAAAGGATAGACCAATAATCATCTAAGCCCCTTTTGAAGGCGTCAACAGTCTCAGACTCCACTAAATCAGAAGGAAGTTTATTCCAGAAGTTAACTACTCGGTTCGTAAAAAACTTTGCGCTGATGTCCAAACGAGCTCTATGATGTTTGAGCTTCAGGCGATGCCCGCGCAGATGGTCTGACACAGCCAACTCAAACAGGTGGGTGGGACTAATACCACTAAGTCCCTTAATGATCTTAAACGTCTCTATCAAATCCCCTCTCAACCTACACCGTTCCAAGGAAAATAATCCCAAGCTACTTAGACGATCTTCGTATGACTTCCCTCGTTGCTCTTCGAGCATGCTGGTCGCAAGTTTCTGAATCTTTTCTATACAAATGACGTCACTCCGGAGGTACGGTGCCCAGGCCTGAAGGCAATACTCCAGATGTGGCCTAACCACTGCTTTATATAACGGCAAGGATACTTCTGCTTTCATGTTACTCAGCGCCCTCCTAAGACGAAATAACTCTTGTCGCGCTTTATTGGCAGCATGGCGACACTGTGCCGAAGGCTTAAAATTGTTCGCTACGATGACACCTAGATCACTGGCTTCATCAGTACACCGCAATGATAGAGATCCCACAGAAGACTGAACTGCAATTCCGCTGCCACTACTGGTCAATAGTTGAAAATTATTAGTATTTAGAGGTAGATCCCATTGGCTCGACCAATTCATCACTGTGATGATGCCCTTAGCCAATGTCGATCGGTTTCCCCTACTGACTAGCTTCAAGTCATCTGCGAAGATATAGCAGGGATCCTCAAGAAGAGGAGCCAGGTCATGTATAAACATAAGAAACAACAATGGACCCAGTACCGAACCTTGGGGGACACCGCTGTAGGCATGGCCAACACTACAACTCGCTTCCCCAACCCTGACTCTGAATGTCCTTCCACGTAAGAATTCAGAGAGCCATAGTAATAGTTGAGGATGCAATCCAAACCATATCAGCTTCTCAATTTAAAATAGATGATTAACTGAGTCAAAGCCTTTACTGAAGTTCAAATAGCACACCTCTACCGACATCCCACTATCAAGACATCGGGCAATCTCGTCTAAAAAGCACAATAAATTAGTAAGACAAGAATTCTTTTAAGAAAGCCATGCTGTTCCGCTTTAATTAGATAGTGCGCAGTGAAGTGCTCACAGACCCTGTTCCTTATAAGCTTTTCCAAGCACTTCAGCATGGTGCTGGTCAAACTAACAGATCTATAGTTAAGAGGCACCGACTTAGAACCCCCCTTGTGGATGGCAACAATGGTCGCCCCCTTCCAATTACGTGGCAGCTTGCCTTCTTGAGGAGACTGGTTGAATGACTCCGCTACAGGATACTGAAGGATATCAGCCAGAGGCTTAACTATGGGATGTACACTATCAGGACCAGCTGATTTATAAGGGTTCAAACTGGCCAGCACTGTGAAGGTCTCTGGCACATTGATAATACTTTCGCGCCTTGTGTAGCTAGTTGAGCAGTGCGGCTGTGATGGCAAGCCTGACCCAGTATCCTTCCGATGCAGGTTTTAGTAAACACGTAGCAGCGCTTCTACTTTATCAACGTCGTCTACAGCCTGGGTACCGTCCTCCATGGTTAGACAGCCGACCACCTCTCTTAGAGAAGCCTTTGATTGGCCATAACTGTAATAACATTTGAGATTTGTTTTCGCAAATTTGGCCAACATAAGCTCATATGAATACTTCGCTTGCCGCTGCAACTTAATAGCCATATTTCGACACCTTCTGTATTGCAGCCAACGTCGGAAGCTCCGAGTTTCTTGATATTTTCTCCACTCGGCATTGCGCCTCTTTATCGCTCTATCAATTCTTCTCTACCATCGGAGTTTCCCAAGATGTCTCCTGGGGCGTAGAGGAGCAAATTCGTTCAGCAACTGTATAAGTCCACTTTTGAGTAGAAGTCACCTCTGTTCCAAAGTGGCTTTGTCCTGTTCAGGGATCCAAGTGATCTGAAGGACTCGATCCCGCAGCTTCGTAAAATCAATACGATTTAAATCCCTTTCCATTCGACGGTTCTCTGCAAGCCACGGTGTGTCCAGAGAAAAGGTAAAAACATAATGATCACTCTTACCTATGGGTGGCTCCACGCATAGGTCAATCAAGTGATCATGTCTGGCGATCACGATATCAAGGGTTGAAGGGGTACTCCCAGTATGACTCCTAGTCGGAACATTGACGTATTGCTCGAACGCATTTACATTCATCCAACCTACTAGTTCCTTCTCTAGAGAACCCACCCTGTTTTCAGCAAGCTGCCAAGCAGCATGGGGAAAGTTTAGGCCACCGACGATCAGAAAATTAGGTACGGCCATTGCCGCCTGTCTTAGTAAGAAAATGTCATGGTTGTATGTGGGCTGGGATACTGCCAGGGCGCCCAGACCTAGACAGGAGAACGATTAGGGTCCTCATCCAAAGCCTTTGGCTCAAAAGCCTGTCCGCAAGGCAGCGAAGTGGCAGTGATTTAGTTTTACAGAAATGGACGCCATCCCATTTCAAACCCCCAACCTGGAGGACCAGGAGACTGAGTTTGTCTGACCTCTCACCATTGACCAACCTGGTAGGAGTAGCTCTCAAGATGCTCGGAGGCATCACCCAGTATAGCTCAATGGGTCATTGAGGTACGCAAACCGTCGCACCACGTTAAGGTCCAGTCTCGTTGCGACGGTCCCAGCCCTCTGTCAGGCAAGCCTATCAAGAAGCACTGCATAG